AGCAGGATGCAAAGCTGCAGTGATTTCTGTCTGTGATTCTGAGAGCTTCTTTCAAGGCAGAACAACTCTTCTCACAGGGGGATCAGGAATTAAGCCCTTCCTGGACCGCTTTGGGGAGCGCTGTGGGGAGCGCAGCGCGCGGAGCCCTGCTGCGAATCCCCCGGGGGGCAGGACACCCGTCGTTACCCCAAACACAAGGACAATCCAGGAGAGGCTTCTCAAACAGAATGAAAATTCCTCTACTGCCAGTTTAGCCCTTCAGCTGAAGCAGGTATGACCTGTTACACTCCTAGCTTGGGGAAGGTTCTGACTGTTCTGCACCTGCTGGAGGGATGGGAATTGTTTTGCCATCTGAAAGCTGTTGGCTTTTCCCCCACTCCCCTTGGTTTGCCCAGGAACGTGAACGAGAGCTCGCATGCCTTCGAGGCCGCTTCGACAGGAGCAACCCCTGGAGTGCAGAGAGAAGTGAAACTTCAAAGAGAAAACTTCCAGAAGCTAAAATGGTAACGTGGTGCTGAGAGATGACAGTCTGTGATGGCTTGAACGCGTTCTTAACGCACAGATAGATGTGTGAACGTGAATAAAAGACAAAACCCATGGTTGGTGAGTGCCCAGGCTGTGCAGAACTTCTTGTTCAAGTGGTTTGTATGAGTATCAACAGATTACTAGATTTCTTTCCTGCTGGAGAATCAATTTAATGAGACAAGTGATAGTGCTTTGAGGCAATTGATTTATTTTTGATTGTGCTAAGTATGTTTTTTTTATAATCTATAACTAAACCCAAAAAGCCCCTTACACAAACAGTTTAATATTTAGTACTTAAGTGGAGTTTCATACATAAATAGGATGCAGGTGTTTAAAATGTGTTGGGTTTTTTTTGCCTAGCAGTGTTTTTAGTCACTTTAAACATTACCTCCTGTATGGTTTTATTTTTGCAGGAAAGCCAATCTCGGACTAGTCCAAAACGTCCTCTCAGTTCAGATGCCACTGCTTTTGGGTCAGCAGAAGAGACACCAGCAGGTGACAGGCCAGCAAAGTCTCCCAGCATGGAGTCTTCAGGTAAGACCTGTCTGTGTTTGCCTGTCTAACACTGAACTGAAGTGCTGCCCTTGATGTTCATGAGCAGATAGAGGTTGGTAGCACTGATGTGTAGAACTAGACCTTTTTTTCATCACTGATCTGTCTAAATCTTCTCAGGTCCTAATGATACTCCACACTGTTATATCCCTTGAAAGATTGGCAGGGCAAAGCTGCCTCTCTTTCTCAGTTTCATACTTTTATGTGTTAACTGTAGGGAGAATGATTCAGAATATCAGTTATAGATTTAATCTATACTGCACCTGAGTATCCAGATGTCCCCAATAATCTAATGGGAGGGAATTCTTCCCCTGTCAAAGAATTCTTCCCCTATCACATCCCTATTTATGATGATAATTCTTATAGTAGGGGATGTGAAAAGAATTCTGAGGTGCTTGTGATATCCCTTCTGGTGCTAAGTGAGTGGAAGAGCATCCAGTTGTAGCAAACCAGGTTGATATCCTGCTCTTGGCCTGGGTGTGGTGATTTTTTTGTGGTTTATCTTTTAGGTTTTCCCTTTTTGCTCCCAAGTGGCTGCACTCTGCTGTGATTTCAGCATTATTTCTTGTGCTATCAGTTTTCTGGTTGTAAGATAGAAGCCTAGCTGGAGTATTTAATCTAGCAGGCTCTTTGTAAGCTGTCACCTCTATTATCAGACTTCCAAAATTCAATAACTAAAAAAAAAATTTAAAAATTCCATAGGCTAGACATAATCCTCAGTGACTTTTTCTTTTATAAACTTCTTAGATGCTCCTAAATGTGAAGAGCCTGACAAACCCAGTCCTCTGAAGAACAGTCAGCCAAAGAGCCCTGTAAAAGCAACATCTGTCTCAAAACTTGAACAGCTTGCTGAGAAACCAAAAGGTTTGTATTGAGTGGATGTGTATTAATGTGCTGAGCTCTCTGCTGCCACTTGTCCAGCAGAGTGTTAATATCCTTCAACTCTGAACAATGAATTGGCCATACATCTGCTGGCACTTGGGTATGTTTTGTAATGAGGTTTATATAAATTAAATCAGGAAGCTTTTTTTTCTCATAACCCTCTCTTGACATTCAAATCTTCAAGGAGTATTAAAATGCTGATGGTAAATTTTATTGGGAAAGGACAAGGAATGACTGCCTTACTGTGGGACCTCTGGTTAAGTTTCAGGCCTGTTTGCATGGAAATGTTGAAACTTGTTTAACAAGTGCATCTTTTAATTCCCTCTCTGTATCAATTGGACAGTATGTGATCATGGTATATTAAGATAAGGATGGGAGTATATTTAAGGTTCTATATCCCTGACTAGAAAAAGTGCTTTTTAATCAAGCATACTTGAAAAGCAAAAATAGTTGGCTTATCCACTAACCTCTTTCTGCTCATTTAATGAGGATGTGAAGAGTTTCATCTTGATGATACTAATATTTTTAAAACAACCCCTTTCAGATGAAGTACATGAAATCGAAATGAGTGTGGATGAGGACATGGATAGCTCAAGAGTGATAAATGAAATCTTTGAAATTCTTCAAGAGGATGGTCCAGACATTGAAAAGCTGAAGAAAGAAATGAGCCTGAGCCTGGAAGGTGAAAGTGATGAGGATGAGCAGGAAGAGTCTCTGAATATTTCATCAATGTCTCTATTAACCCCTCTGGTGGAATCTGTTGGTCCAGAGGTGAGGCCTCTCAGGAGCTGGGGAAGGGCTTGTTTATCACAGAGAAGTACTATTGGCTTGTGAACAATGAGATTTTTGTTGTATTGTGATACCTGGGCAAGTACAGAAGTTACAAATGACATTTTTCAAATGAAAACATAACAAGGCAAAGTTATTTTCCTCTGAAAATAGCCTATTGGATGCTCTGCTAAACAAGTGGTTTAACTTCTGCTAAATTAAGCTTGAATATATATATATACCTGACTGGTGCTGGACTTGGTACAAATGACCTTTTGCAAATGAAAACATAAGGCAAAGTTATTTTCCTCTGAAAATAGCCTATTGGATGCTCTGCTAAACAAGTGGTTTAACTTCTGCTAAATTAAGCTTGAATATATATATATACCTGACTGGTGCTGGACTTGGTGGTGTACATGCATCCTATAAAGTGGTTACTGATGGAAATCTGAAAGAAATAATAGTGTAACTGTACCAGTTTGGAACCTAAGGCTGAAATCTCCTGGAGTTCAGTAGTCTGCTGGTGTCTTTAAGATAAGTAAATAAATTAGCTTGCACTACGTCCCAGGAAATACTTGTACAACGTGTATTAATTAGTGTTAAGCAGCCTCCAATTTTAGTTTATATGCAGAACAAGTGAAGCTGAGAGAAGGCAGGTCATGATTAATGTGAACACAGAGCTGTAATGTCTTTTTTCCTTCTCCCCAGGCTTTTGTTTCTCCTTCCAAGTCCACCGGCGAAGGCAGCAGCGTCAGTGATGCGAGTCTGAAGTCGGAGAAGTTCCAGAGGACTAAAGTCCCCAGGGCAGAATCTGGAGACAGCCTTGGCTCTGCCTCAGAAGATCGCAACCTCCCATACAGGTAATGAACACAAAAACCCTGCTGGAAGGGTACAAAAGACACTTTAAAAAAAAAAAATCCCCCAATGCAGCATCCTGATTAAACTACAAATAAACTTTTCTCCAAGATCTTGTCCTTTCCAACGCAAAATATTCTATGATTTTTTTTAAAGCCATATAAGCAAGCTGAAAAACACAAAGATATAGTTATTTTTTTTAAAAAAGCTTGGTGTAGCTGTGAAACATTTTAATGGGGTTTCCTCTTTTAAAAGCATTGATGCCTATAGATCTCAAAGGTTTAAGGAAACCGACCGGCCTTCCATCAAGCAAATCATTGTTCGCAAAGAAGACGTTGCCTCCAAGCTGGAGATGAAAAAGAATGGCCCCTCTGATCAAGTCAATATCAAAAAGAAAATGCAGGTCTGTAATACACTGCTTAAAATCCTTTTTCTAATTTACTGTTTCCTCCCTTAATTTCCCCTGTGAATGTCTGGGCTGTCGACATACTGCTTGGAACAGCAAAATGACCTTGTTTAGCATAAATATCTAATGGTGGGGAATGATTCTGCATAATTTGAACAGATGATGTGTCTTTTAGATAGATCTTGCTATAGAGTAAGTGTGGAGAGAACAAGCCATTGTTTTGAGAATATTCTGATCTTTACTGGTGCCTTGTTCCACCTACATGGCTGAATTTCTGCCTAACTGCTGCTCCCCTTTGTGAAGGGAAGACTAGACTGGATGTGGGGCATGCAAATGTTGCAGCCATTCACTCCCAACCATATTTATGTTATCTCTGAGGTCAAAAAAGGTTGTGCTGCAGTATTCTTTAGTGGAAGTAACTGTAAAATGCAAGATTTTTGTAGTTTATTATTGAAATGGTCTGATTTTTCTGAACCATCACCCCCAAAATGGTAACATCATGACATTATCTTGAGTGTAACACTAAATCTTTTCTTGATAAGTCTTTTTACAATTGGTTTACTCTAGGAGTTGAATAATGAGATCAACATGCAGCAGACAGTGATTCATCAAGCCAGTCAAGCTCTGAACTGCTGTTTTGATGAGGAACATGGAAAAGGGTCACAAGAAGAAGCAGAGGCAGAGAGACTTCTTCTCCTTGCAAGTAAGTTTTTAGACTTAAGTCCAGTTCTTTGTCCTGAATGCTTTGGGAAGAGCTGATGAACTCTGGAAATGTGTTTGTAGCTGCCTATTTATAGTTCTCTATCTGGAGAACAGCTGCTTCTACAGGCAAGAGGACAGTTGTGGTGTTTTAGTCCTAATATTCCTGCTATTCTAGAAAATAACACTTGTGTTGCAATTTACAGACTTAGGGCAAAAAAAAATAGTACTTTTTTTTTTTTCTGTTACAACTACAATTAATTTCTCTCTGCAGCTGAGAAGAGAACTGCTTTATTGGAAGAGCTGAATAAACTGAAGAGTGAGGGACCCCATGGTAAAAGAAACAAAGCTGCTCCTCCATCCACTGAATTTGCTCCCTCCAAGGGATCTGTTTCCATTTCAGAAATGCGTCTACCTCTAAAAGCAGACTTTGTATGTGGGACTGCTCAAAAGCCAGGTAAAACTGACAGCTGAGAGCTTCACCCCTTCAATCCCCCTTCAGCCATCACCCCTGTATGTATTTCTGGTTTGTTCTCCTTGGTTCTTTGTCTTCTGCTTTGGTGTTTCTCATAACTCTGGAAGTAATGACACTTTAGCATTTAATTCATCTGCTTCTTGGTTATGTTTTCAAGCTTTTCCATGTTTGGTTTAGTTGCATTCTTCTCTGGCTTGTGAGGTTTGTGAAACATATAAAGACTTTCCCAGACAGTTTTAAGGATCTCTAATTTGTTGGGGTGTCATTAGCATTTTTTTTTTTTAATCTCAGGCTGTCTTCTTTTTTACTGCCTTGGATTTTTTTGATGGCTGTAAGTCTGGTACCTAAACATCATTACATAAATTCTGCTCTCTTTAGTGGTGTGAAATGCTCATTAAGCCTCTATTTTTTCAGTCCTCTTGTTCATATCCCCAAATTCTTAATTTACAAAGACTAGTCTTCCATTATCTTGTCATATTCAAGTTCACAGAGTTATCCTGGAATAGAGTCAGCTTCTGTCCATGCAGAACTGTAGCTGGACAAGTTCCTACTTTTTGCCTCACTAGAACTTAAGGACAAAAATCATTGGACAAAATTGTGTTTAATATTTGTTGCAAAACTTCTACTAGCAAATTTGTATGTAGTCCTCCTTGTTTTACTGCTCTATGAAATGTAAGTTGTGGGTTTATAGCTTCAAATAAAACCAGAGCAAAGAAGAGAAATGTAAATATCTGACCTAATTTACCACCCCTATCCTACTCCTGACATGTCACAGTTCTTGTTGCAAGAGATGGTTCATCTCTGTTCTAGGAAGGCCTCTCTAGTGATTACAAAAATGTAAGTTTTGTTTATGTCAGTAATTCTTAAAATTGTCTAAACAGCTATGAACTATTTGTCCTCAAAATCAGTAATTCTTAAAATTGTCTAAACAAACAGCTATGAACTATTTGTCCTCAAAAACTTTATTCTGGAAGTGCCATATTTGCTGTGTGTCATGCACCAGAAGTTCTGTTAACCATTTCCATCTCTGAAGAGAGCATCAGATCTAAGGATGCTAGATCAGATCTAAGGCAAGCCTAGGGAAGAACAGGAGTATGAGGCACTAAAATCAGCTGCTGAAGCAGACTGGAAGGTTCTTCCTCTGCCCTCTCCCTCGCTGGGTAGCATAGGTCTGGCCTGAGGTGCCCCAGACAGTGATGCAGTTGTGAATCCTCTGGAGACAGTCTTACTAGTGGACACAGTTGGAAAATACTTGCTTTCAGAGTAAGTTCATAAGCAAATCTTGGCTGGAATTAAGTGTTTAAGTGGGGTGAAACAGGATATGTTTAATGGCAATGCAGCACTTGAGGGTTTTTGGATATTTGGACACCTCTGGCTGATAAACCCATTTGATCTTTATGTACAGAAGCAGCAAATTACTACTATGTAATAATACTGAGATCTGGAGCAGAGAACATGGTTGCAACTCCATTAGCAAGTACTGCCACCTCCCTCAATGGAGATGCTCTTACCTTTACTACAACGTTTACTATGTAAGTATGAAGAAATTGGTTTGGATCCAGTTTCAATTCTGATAGTGGGGCCTGCATAAAAATCTTTAAAACCTTCCTATAAGGATGTGGTATTCTGCAAACAAATGTGGTGAGATCTTGCAGAGTGGGAATTTCCTGCTTCAGGAAATAGCTGGAATGCACTTCTCTCAAAAGAGCAATCTAGGCTCATTCTCCCATCCATCAGCTAACTTATCTCTTGCTTTTTCTACTTCTGTTCTCTCCTGGAGCACCTGCAGTGACAGATGGATTGCTTTGGTTGAGCTGATGTGGTGGTTTTTTTTTTTCCCCTCTTTCACAGCAACAAACATTTTATATAGCTGTTTGGTTTGGGTATCTGGAAAAAATAGTCCTCTTGAAACTAAAACTTCAACTCTCATACCTTAGCTAAAAAGGTGTGAGTTCAAATGGCTGTTTGTTAGCAAAAGTCTTCCAAAATAAATAAGCACACTCACTTTTTAAAGTCTAACCCAACTGGATTTTTCACTTAAAGCTGTTTACTGAAAAGAAAAACAACCCCAATCTGTGTGCCAGCAGTGGCCTGAAGGATGCAGCCTGAGGAATGGTAGATGTCTTCTATCTGCCCCTTGTCCTCCCTTCCCTTTTGTTCTCTGAGTTCTAGAAAGTACCTTGAAACAGTAATAGAATCTAGTCTTAAACAGCAATGCTGCTTGCACTGATGAGTACTTCTGCAAGTGAAAGGATCTCAAACAGCCCTTTTGGCCTGCAGAACTAAATTCTGCTTTGCTAATATGAGATGAGCTGTGAGCAGTATGGATAAGTCTGTTGTGTAAAGCTTCATTATTCCCTGAATGTCCTTCCAGGAGGAGGGGGGAAGGAGTAAAGAGTAACTTCAAAAAAAAACCCAACCAAACAAAAAGCCCCCTCAAAAAGCCCCAAACCCTTTTGCCTCTGTCTGTATTTAACATATTTTTCCTCTGTCTTCCCTTTTAGGCATGATGTGTCAAGTGACTTTGAAATAAATATAGAAGTGTACAGTTTGGTATGTATCAATTCCTGTCAGGAGGATGGGGAAAGGTGAATGATGTGACACTTTCTTAAGACCTCCTTGCCTTACAGGTGCAACGAAAAGAAGCCACGAGCACTGATAAAAGGAAAAAAGCAAATAAATCTAAGGTAAATGACACAGGAGAATGTTGTATTTCAACAGAAGGTACCCTAGGAAGACTGCAGTGTTCAGGGAGAACTGACAAATAGTCTTGGACAATCTGTTGCTTGCTTTTACTCTCCTTGTTATTTCCCAGAACACCTGCAATGACAGATGGGTTGTGGAGTCCTGCAGCTATTGGTGATTAGACCTACAGCACTTGGTTGAGTCTTGAAATATCTTTGAGGGGAAGGAGAACTCTTACTCCTGCAAAATGCTGTGCTTTGGAAACTTGTAGGTATTAGCTGTGGTGCCTGTGATAGTGATTCAGTGCCTTTATTCTCCACTTCAACTACACCAGTCAATATTCCCTACCCTGCAGCTTGATTTGTCTTAAAGGTACAATTGATCAACTGCAACACTTTTCTTGGACACAAACCTCTTGGATAGGGTGCACAGTTCAAATGTTTGTGCTTTATTAAGGCTTTGTCACCCCAAGCAAGCCAGTGGCTTTCTGGAGGTGATTTGTTGGGTTTTCTTGTTTTATTTTTATTTCTTGTCATTCCAATAGCTGGGCTCACAGTGTATTAATAATTTTAGGTTTGGTTTCCTCCTTGTCAAGATATTTGTCACTAAAGATCAAGAAACTTAAGGTTTTTTTTCAGAGCAGTTGGAATGAGTACTTAAATCCTGCCTCTGCAACTAAAAAAAGGAAGTTTCTTTCATCTTGGCTTTCATTTGGCACAGTGAAAGCCTGTGCTTCCACCTATCCCCCAATAAAACCAGGCTGAAATTGGGGAGTCTTCCTCTCCTGTGCTGCAGTTTAGAGGAATCTTTACTTAAAAAACTGAATGCTTTTGTGGCACTGTAGGTAAGTTGCTGATGTGGGGTTGTAGGTTTGCTGATGGGAACCTCTGTCTGCTTTTTGATGAGCTTTTCATGCTTGTCTTTCAGCTTCAAGTCTAGATGAGAACATAATTCCAGTTCAGGTTTAATGTAGTCTCACTTAACTATGAGATTTTCACCTGAAAATAAGGATGATGTGCAACAGTGGCACACTGAACATCTCTGTACTTGGACTGTTATCTAGATTCAATAAACAAATATAACTTTGAAGCCTTGTTACATGAAGGGTAAAGATCTAAGAGTGTTTATTCAAACATGTGCTGCCCATCCCAAGCTAATATGGGCTTAAATGTTTCTACTTTATGTATTTCCTTTATATGTAGCATTTCTTCTACTGAAACATTACATCCAGTCAAAAATACCAAGACTTATTTATTCAAACAACTAGATCCATCCAAAATTTATTTAGTTAAGCCTTTAGTAGTTTCACTGTGTAATTATCACACTAATGTGATGGACAAATTCAGCAGCAAATCTTATGTTCTTTTCTAGGTTATTACTCCAAAGAGATTATTAACATCTATAACCTCTGTAAGTATGAATGGAATCCTGAAACTCTATAAACTGCCTAACTTTCTGCCAAACTCTTCAGCCATCAGCTCAAGAAATGGGTGACAGCCCTAAACATGTAAAGCTGGGAAATATGCAGTTACTACACATTGATTTGGACTTTATTTTCAAGTTGGTTTTGTTTGTGGCTTTTTAAAAAGTACTTCAGATCTAATTTCTTTCTAACCTAGAGTAATTTAGGATTAAAGGTTGCAGATTTTAGCAATTACTTTTCCACTAAGCTTTTATTTCTCTCTTTCTCTCTCTAGAAAAGCACTCTTCTTACTCCAGGTAAGCAAAATCTGAACATTTTACAGCATGATGAATAATCTATACTTGTGTCTAAAGCAGTATATCAAGTAAATAATACTAAATAGCATATTGATAAATAAATACCAACAGATGATAATTTGAGAGCAATAAACACAAAATTAGGTCAGTTTTCCAGTTCAGAAACTGGCCCTTTGTTTAGATCTGAGTTACCAGATCTCTTCACAAAATCAAAATTACTATCTGGTATTAGATGCCTGTGGTTTACATTCTTTTCCTGAAATGTGAGCTCAAATGTTAAGACTTTAGAGTCTGATGTCAACAAAATGACACAGAGCAAACCTGAAAATCAGTTTCTGAAGCTTGTGTGCTGGCTTTGACATGGTTATTTGAAGGTGCTGCAGAGAGTGCCTCTCCTGGAGTAGAGTAGGGTCCACTCAGCAGTGCAGATAAAGCCTTTTAGCAACACTCTGGTGTGTTGTGTTGGGATTTGACCTGAGCTTCTCTCCTCTGCAGCCATGGCCAGTCCAGGAGGCCCTAACTCTGTCCGCACTACGAATTTCATCCTTGTGGGGTTCCACAAGCTGTCCCTGTCTTCTGTAGGACATGCCAAGTTTGCACTGGACAAGGTAATGGAAAATTGCTGGTTACTAATCCACAGGGAATTTCACACTGCTAGGGAAAAAAAATCTGAGTCTGGGTTTAATGTTTTCAGGTGAAACGACCATCCTCAAAATGAAACCTAGGTTTATATCTGTTTTATATAAATAATTTGTCTAGTTATATTTAATTTCATAGGACTGAAATATACCTTTGAGATAAACAAAAAAAAAGTCATTATTATACCAAGATGTCCTTTGCATGTGGTCTTCAGTTTAATTTCATAGGACTGAAATGTACCTTTTGAGATAAACAAAGTCATTATTATGCCAAGATGTCCTTTGCATGTGGTCTTCATATTGATTGTTGCTCTTGGTCTTGCACTTCCCACATTAAGAGTGTTTTCATGATGGTGAAGCACTTGAAATGTTCTGCATTCCATTGACTTAAAAATTACTATTTGGATATATGAGTTTACTTTCATATCCCAATTAAATTTGTAGAATCAGACTCTCTCTTTCAAAAGTAGTAAGGTGTTATTGATTTTTATACCATTAGTTCCTGGTCTAAGCAGAGTGTTTATTGGCTCTTACCATTAGACAATAAAAAATACACTCTTACATTCCTTGTAATCTCTAACCTTGTAATATCTCACACTTAAACCCTGTTTTAATGGGTGTTTATGTCAGCAGCTATCCTAAATTAGTTCAAAAGTTACTATAGCTTAATGGTAGTACTAAATTCCAGGTTTTTTTCTTATCCAAACAGCAGCATGAGAATAATTAAGTCTTATTGTGATGATAGCAGTGCTGCCATTATAGCTTCTGATGAGAGGTGAGATAATGAGAATTGGGTAAGATGAAAACCAAAATATAGCAATAATCCCAACTTGCTTTTTGGAAATTTGACTTTTTGTGGATAGAAGCAGAGTCCTTCACTGAAACAGTTCACAGAACTTAACAGCTGAATTGTGCTGCTGTTACTGTGTGAACTTCAAAAGTACCAACAGTGGTTCCTCAGCAGAAATGTTCCTCTCCACCAGAGCTGTGTGTAGGAATCTTACTTTGTGTGTGGCTTGGTTACTTGGAGGATCCTTCTCAGAGCTACAGGAATCAGCTTTTACACTCTATATTCAGCAATTTGGGTTTGAACTCTTCTAGTTTATTCCTAAGCATGAGACATTGGACTGAACTAGTAAACTAGCACAAGGTCCAAATAGAATTCCAGGGAAACCACCACTTGGTTAATTTTTTCCAGGTGCAAGCTTCAGCTGTTAGGAGTAAGAATTCCCTTGTCAGATAACTGGTGGTGTTGTTAAATTATGGCCCCTGTAAAGCTTCATTTTGGCTTGGCCTGTGGCTGTAGCAACCAGCTGGTTTATAACTTGCTCCATGCATTTCTAATATGCAACAAACTGCTGCCACAGTGGTGGTTTTTAGTTTCATTCCTCCCTTTTATATGCACTGTTAAATTTCAGGGCAGAAGAAACCAAAATATACTCATGCATAACTGTCTCCTTTTTTTTTTTATAAACATTAACTTTACACTAATTGCACTGAGCATGTTTCTTTTTTTCCCTAGATAAATTTGGAAGGGGTGGAAAGAGAACTGTTGGGCTATATGTTCCAGGACAAGGTTGCTGTGATCCTTCTAGTTTGTAATGAAAAATAGGAAACTGCTTCCCTAGTGCATGTTGCTCGTGTCTGTCTTGGCCTTTTTTTTGCAGTATTAATTTCTTTTAATTCTTCTAAGAAAATGCTTACAGAGATTTACTAACTAAACAGAAGATATTAGGAGCTTTTAAGACTTGCAGAATCCTACCCCCTGTCTTTCAAAATAAACATGCTGCTAGAACTCAAAAGTTTAAACCACCTAGGGTATTTTTTTTCTTAAACCAGCACGTGTCTCTTGTCTTCCTAAATTACTAGAGGAGGGTTTTTCTTCAAAACATATCAATGTGTCTCCTAAAGGTTGCTAGTCAGGAAATTTGAGTCAACTTCTTGAGGAACTGCACAGAACATAAAATTGACTGCTCTACTGATAGAGGATCAGGGAAAAATGACTCCTGGCCTAAATGTTGGTTTAACTCAACTTGTTGCCACTGAAAAAATGAAAATCACTCAGGAACTAAATATTTTGTTATTCTATTGAGACCTTGTTCTGTCAAGACTCTTCTTTTAAAGCAAAAAGTGATTACAGAACTTCAGAACTGAAGTTCTGAAATGTATCAAAATGTGGGGTTCTTATTTGTATATAAATGTGCAATTAAAATATTTCACTTGGTGTCTACAGTTTTGGCTTTAGGAATTGGGTAAACTGATAGGCTTAAAAGAAATAATTGGTCATTAATGGTTAATCAGTGAGAACAGTTTTATTTAATTAACTTGGATCCCTCAGAAGAAAGCGTTAAGTTAGTTTTCTCTCCAAATTAAGTGATGATTTTAGTACCTATATCTAAGTCTCCTAAGAAACCATTTTTCTTCAAATTCTTGAGAGTTGTCTTGAGTATCTTCACAGATCACCATCCATGACAGCCAGCCAGCCTCTTACAGTAGCTGTCTGAGCTGACCACTTAAGTGATAATTTCAGTACTAAGTCTCCTAAGAAACCATTTTTCTTCAAATTCTTGAGAGTTGTCTTGAGTATCTTCACAGATCACCTTCCATGACAGCCAGCCAGCCTCTTACAGTAGCTGTCTGAGCTGACCACACCAGAATGCAAACCAGCCTAGTTGTGGGCTTCAGTTTCCTCTTCACCTAGCTAGATACTCAACAGATTGCTTTCACTCCACCACCTCCACTCCACTCCCTTTGAGAGGGAGATGTTGTTGACTAGAATGTACTGTTTTCTCATTATTGTACAGGAAGGTGTTGTGAGACCTGCTTTAGCAATAACTCTGCATAACTGCTTGTGTTCCATTTGTTACACAGCCTTTTTGCTTTACTGTCACACTGGTAAACTTCCTAGTCCACAAAGTAGCTTCTCTATCCTGGCATAAATTGGAAAGGAACACACAAAAACCACAAACTTGAAGTGGGGAACTGGCCAAACTTCCTGGAGAGCCTCATTCAGAAATGGGTTTTACTGTGGTTTGGTAGGATATAAGCCAACACTCCCTGGTGTAGCATCTAAGGTTATAGATGCATTTGCTGATAAAAACCCAGGACTGAGGCAAGTTACTTCTGTGATGTGGAAACATTTTAGGGGTTTTGCTTCTCCAACAGCCATGCAGAGTCCTACCTGGTGCTCAGTTTTGCTCTGCTGTCCTGTAGGGCCAAGTACCTGAGCCAGCCATGCATGGTCTTAGTTCTGTAGGTCCAAGATAAAAATTGTGATCAGCTGCTTGTGCACAGGAATCATCTGTCTGGAAGGAAGCTGCAGTAGGTCTACAACTCAAAGGGGATTGATCTCCTAACCAAAGCATCTGTTCCAGTGCTCTACAGGGTTCACTGGGACCTACAGATGTACACTTCACTACTGAGGGCTGCTCTTGTTCATCTTAACTGCTAGCAAAATTCAATTCCATTTGACTGACATTGATTCCATGGCTCTAAAAGCTCCTGCATTATTGTGGGGGGATTGGACTAGACCTTTAAAGGTCCTTTCCAACCCAGAACATTCTATGATTATGTACACATGCCTATTCCCTGGCCAGTGGTCTGTCTTTGTGCTTGAGCAGCACCACCAACCTTTCATTTCCTTCTAACAGGACAAAACACTGATTTTATTTCTGATTATTTTTTTTTTAAAGATTATTATAATACTGCTTTTTTTTTTCAGTGGTAGAAGACAGGACTAGGAACTCCAACACAAGTCTTCAGCACCTTGGTTGCCACTAGAGAACTGCTTCCATTACCATTTTTTCCCCCTTTTAGGTTTTTTTATACAAATACAACACCAGTATCTGCCAAAAGTGCTTATGGCATCCAAGTACCAACCCTGTTTAAGCCCACTTTGATATTTTCCAGACAGCTTAATGTCAGACTGAGGCAGAAGACTGCAGGGTGTGGACTGGTGCCTTGTGTTGTTTGTAACCATGTTCACCACTGTGCCTGTTCTTCTAGAGAGGAGCATGTTTGTGCATATGTCCTGAGCAAGCTAATAAGTAAGCCTTGAAAAGCTTCTAAATGAACCTGAAACAAAAAGTGATTATTACTGACTGCTTCTTTCTGGCTGAAGAGCCTAAGAACAAGGCAGTGCTAACATCCTGGTGCAGGTGGCTTGCTTGGAACTGGTAAAGTTGAGAGGTGTCAAAATGAAATGGCTTAATGGTTTCACTTTTTGCAGGTTCCCTTTTTGTCTCCTTTGGAAGGTCATATATATCTGAAGTTAAAATGCCAGGTGGACTCTTCTGTGGAGGAGAAAGGGTTCTTGGTAAGGTGTTCACTTTGTATTCCTGATGGGAGATGAGATTCCAATTTCTCTGCCAGAACATCTACAGGGTATTTTTTTTTGGTCTAGTAAAATCCAAATTAATTTCTCTGCCAGAACTTCTACAGGATATTTTTTTTTTTTGGTCTAGTAAAATCCAAATTCTCTCAAGGAAAAGATTTTTTTCACTTTGTTCACAGACTTTGATTTACAAGGAAGTGACAGTATTTTTTTTTTTGAGAAATATCTTGAGCAGTTCCTTCTAAAACTGGACTTGGAAAAAATGCACCTGATACTTGTGCTGGTAATAGATGGAGCTGCTGAGATCATGTCCAGAAGATGGCAGTAAATGTGCTCTGAAAATACTGCAGCAAAACATGAGCACTTGCTCTTATCTTGTTTTCATAAATCAGGATTTCTTTAGATGGTTTTCAAGCAGTTTTTGTCTCCTTTCCCTTCCTTAGTTGAACAGATTTCATTAGAGGCCAACATCTCACACACTTATGGTATTTGCTGTCCCATGGTTTTGTGCATTAATTTAAGAAAGTTCTTGTTTAATTCCACTATACAACATGTAAAACCTGAAGAATAGTTTTATAATATTAAATAGGGTTTGAAAACTCCCTGCACCATTAAAAATCACCACCTGAACTCTGCAGGGTGAAAAACACAACACAAAAAAAATCAATTGGAAAAAGAGTTCTATACAAGTTCAAAGAGGGATCAGGAGCAGAAGTCAGATACTAAACTTTCCATTCCAGTACTAAGGAAATGGGGCTTGAAATTGGTGTAATCCTGTATCCAGTAAAATAACTGCCAACACAAACATTTAAAAATCAATTTCTAATTTCTCCCCAACTGATGGGGCTCCGGAGTGTAGTCTGTAGAACAGCCAAACATTTTGTAACCCTGAATTGTAAGTCAAAGATGACTTCCATTGTAATTATAATAAATTAGGTTATCCTAATACATGTTTTGTGAACCAGTCATCCCATCCTTGCTCTAAGTAAGGCCCCATTATCTTAAAATACAGCAGTGTAAGGCTGCAAACTTGATGGGTAGAGTTCAGCCCATTTTCTGTGCTCTCTGGAAATCTATGCACTTAGAGAATTCTCTCCCAGGATATTTTTCTTCTTATCTTACTTTTTATGAAGGGTTGCACTTGCAGAACCATTCTGATAGAAAAATAGTGGAGTGCAGACCAAGCTCAGGGGATAACATCACCCCTTTTTTCTGCTTTTTCTCTCTGAAGACTATGTTTGAAGATGTTAGTGGATTTGGAGCGTGGCACAGGCGCTGGTGTGTGCTGTCTGGAAACTGCATCTCTTACTGGACCTACCCAGATGATGAAAAACGAAAGGTAATGCTGTCTTATAAAGCATTAAGACACAAAGATTCTCAAGTCTGAAGTCCTGTAGTTCTCTACAGGACTGGCTGTTCATTTTTTAACAGCAGTAACATTTCACCTTACAACAGGTAAGTATATTTAAGGCACGAGATTCGAGCTCATAAATATTCCTTGGGGGGAATGGAGGGGACTTGTCTTGATAAATCTCACCTAAATCAGAGCACACTTAAGAACTGAGCACTTTATCTAGTGGGAAATGGGAAAAGTGGAGCAAGGTCTGTATTTAATTTCCCCTTTAGTCTTAAGGCTCTCCATTGCACTTGTCAAATGGCTAATTATTTAATTGAAATCGATCAGACTTGTACAGCTTAATAAACAGACTTTATCTCATTGCCTGAAGTTTGAGACAAAATGACTCTTAACACTTAATGTGGTAAAGAATTAGAGTGGGCAATCCTTCTGTACTGCAGAGGCATAGCTGTGATTATGGACTGTCTTGTTTGCAGTCATTGTTTTCTCACTGCTCCACATAATAGCTGAAACTGATGCTTTAAGTGGTTCTTGAGGGAACCAAAGTTAGTCTGGCTAATGAGACCAATCAGAGGTTTACCTGTCACTGAGCTGAACCCTCTTGTCTGCTTAGCCTCTTCTTGCAGGGTGCACAGAAATATTTCCAGGTCCCTTTAAAGACTGCTGTCAAGAGTGTTTTTCTGACTCACTTCAGCAATTTACCATTAAACACTTGCTTGTTTGTTGGCAGAACACTTTCTTTTCCAAACTCTGTGACAAACTCTGGTCCTTTTGGGTCTTCTGTGCCAATCCAGATGCCTGAGTTTAGTTTCTTCCCTGCTAACAGAGGAAGACCATATGCTGATAGCTGACATTGCCAAAATATATCAATGTACTTTCTTTCCCTGCCAGGAGACAGGGAAAAATCTCTGCCTACTGTAATAGAAGATAGGCAAAGAAAAAGAGTTGAGCAAGAAAAAGGTTCCTAGTCTGCTTTTATCTGGGAAAAAAAAAAAAGCTTTGGTTTGTTTTCCAGATTCTGTTCTTCTAAATCTTCTAGACTTGTTTCACTATCCTTCTGGGAAGGAGTCAGCTGTGTTCTTATGGTATACTGTCATCTACAGCAATATTGAAGTCTATCCTTATTAAATGCCTCCCTGTGCCCCTGCTCTCTCTTCTATCACACAGAAGTAGATGTAGCTCAGGAATACCAGTACTGGGCAATGATTGCTTTGAATCATGGAATGTTGGGGGTTATTTTAGTTTTCCCCTGGCTGTACATTATCCCCACAATGTAACCTGTTCCTTGGTGTTCCCTGAAATGGAGCTGTCCTTTTTCCTGTAACCTGAGTGATCCTATGGAATAGCAGATCAATATGCCCAATAATTAGCAAACTCTTCTCCAAGCCAAGAGCAGCTTATTTCCCTGATGAAGTATTCTGTAGGTGTGAAGAACCAGAGCCAAGGCCAGTAATTTCAGGCACACATTTCAACCTCTGTCTGTGGTCAGCAGCAAGGGAGAACTGCCTTGGAGTGTGAAATGCTCTTTGAAGGGGTTTAGCTGTTGTCTGTAAAGCTAAAGCAGCTGGACTCCTTTTGTGTGGGGTAATTTATTGGGGGTGGAGCTTCACTTATGCTTTGAAAGATTTTTGCCGTGTTACGTTGTTCAGATTTACTCTTGATGGCCATTTTCTTGACTGATGAACCCTCTTCACTTCCAGCATCCTCTGGGCAGGCTGAACTTGGCTAACTGCACCAATCACCAGATTGAACCTGCCAACAGGGAGTTCTGTGCCCGACCCAACACCTTTGAGCTGATAACTGTCCGGCCTCAGAGGGAAGATGACAGGGAGACACTCGTCAGCCAGTGCAGAGACACGCTCTGCGTCACCAAGTGGGTGAAAGCACAGGCTGGGGGAGGCCGTGGAGGGTGTGGGAAGACTGCTTTGCCTCACGTGGTAGCCCTACCAATGAAAACCTCATTTACATGCTAAGATTTGGGGATGAAATTTGAACTTTGAACTGTTCTGAGGACAAAGCACTCAGCTCTTCCAGAAGTGCAAACGCCAGGTAGCTCGGTAGCAGGGCAGTGGAATATTTGACTCCATTTGTTTTTCCCTCTGCTTATTTGGGCTTCCATTGGTGATCAGCTGGGTGTTTTTCAGAAGAAGCAGAGGATGTCTCTGATCCATTGGGTTCTCTGTCTTTTTAGGAACTGGCTCTCTGCTGATACTAAAGAAGAACGTAACCTTTGGATGCAGAAGCTCAACCAAGTCCTCGTTGACCTCCGCATGTGGCAGCCTGATGCCTGCTACAAACCTATTGGAAAGCTTTAAACTCTGGGAGGGAAACAGGAAGAGAAGATGTATGCAAAAACCTGCATGAACTACACAAAAAAAAACCCTTAAATGAGAACGTGGGGAGTCCTCTGGGTCACTTATGCTTTAAATTTTAGAGAGTATTTAACAATATACAGGATTATGTTATGCAGTATTTTTATTTCACTTTAAGGATTTTAAAACTTCCTGGCTTTTGAGCATGGTAGGAAGCAATTAGATATTTCTAAATGTGCTAAATATTTATGTAACTCCTTTTTTGGAAGTCTTTTTTAGTTCAGTACATTCTCTTCTTAATAAACAACTAAGTTATTGCAGGAAATCACACAGGAAAGGGGTGGAGAGAGCAAGCTAGTGAGAAAACAAGTTTACTAGTGTAACTCCCTAAAAGAAATGATAGCTCAGAGTTCTCTAGCAAGGATGGTGCTGAAGCACAAGATTTAACAGTGAAGAGTTTGTCAGGTTTGTTTTAAATCATCAAGCATAGGAGTTACCAGTACATTTCATTCTACAACATGCAATATATTTCTTGCTTGCACAGTGTCCTCGTGGTCAGAACAAAAGACATGCACAGTATGTTCATACTTTTGCAATATCTCATAAAAACTGGTATGGATAAGTGTGTGGCATGTATACCTTGTGGTTTGACAGGGATGGAATTATGTATGCAGTATAATGCACTTTGATAGGAATTAAAGGTCTCGAGTATGTTTGTTAGGATTGCTGTAAAATAAAAAGAAAGGGGAAAAAAATAGTTATAAGGTTGTATCCATCAATATTTCCTGGGACTCATGGTTTGTACCAGCTAGAATTCTCCATTTGAGAATCAGGAATAGGTTGTAAAAGTGTTTGGGGTTGGGTTTTTTTCTATAAAACACTACAAAGCTGCTGTGTACCAAGTAATACTCTGCTGGCTAAAACCATGGGTCTTCCTCTCCTCCTCCATGGCTGTTATAAATTCACACTCAAAACACTAAATTTTGTTAGCTGAGGCTGTTTTCATCCTCCCACTTTTATACTCGCTTTGGAATCCAGTTTTCTTTGGTGGTTTTTAAAGATTTCCAAACTATGTATTGGGATTTATTTGTTTAAAATGAAAGAATAAAGCAATTTCTGCTTTTTTTTCATAATGCCATTTCTGCATTGGAGGTACTGGTCTGTAGGCTGAGATTCCACACAGTGTTTGAGAGGATTCTGGTCAGTATGTGTATCCCAAAATACCTTTTGATTTGGGAAGAGAATGTGATGCCTCAGGGGTAGCTAGCATCCCATTTTGGGAGGCCAGGTTGTCCATGCTACCATGAAGTTTTTGGAACATAAATGAATGTACAAGCAGCTGGTGACCAGCAGCTCAACAAGTCTGAAGAGGAGAGATGGTTCTTCTGTGACAGAGACAGGGCAGCAGAGTATCAGTGCAACGTGGATGGGGGTTTGGGTTTGGGGTTTTTCCTTCCAAAATGTTGGCAAACCTTTTTTTTTTTCCTGTGTTTGCAATGGAACCTTTTTGAAGAGGCCAGGCTTTGAATTCAAATAGCTTCAGGTAGCTGTAAATGTTCTAGACCTCAAAAATAGCTCCTGCTGTCTGATTTCAAACCTTTGAGTTTTGTAAAAACAGTTTTTAAACAGAATAACATAAAAAAAAAACTCTTCCCATTTGCAGTGTGTTGGAATTAGCCAAGGACATAATCCCTCCCCCAAAAAAAGACTAAACAGAATAACATCAAAAAAAAAACCTCTTGCCACTTGCAGTGTGTTGGAATTAGCCAGGGACATAATCCCTCCCCCAAAAAAAGACCATGACAGACCCTTCCTTCTGGAAAGTTTGAGTTTCATGGAACTACACTTGGCTTTCCAAGGAAAACTTTTTTTCCAGTTTATTCCTCTCTTCCCCAGGCATTTGTCACCTTCAGCCAACCCAAGCAAACAGTCAAACTAAGGGAGTAGATAAAGGAGTCATAGTTGGTGACTGCTTTAGAATAAGCTTTTCCAGAAGCACTTCTTTAAGTAGAGGATGTATATTTTTAGCATGGTGCTGGTAAGTGGTGAAGGGTTGGGGGTGCAGATCTTCAGCTGGTTTTTGCAACAGTGGAGAAACATGGTGGCTAGGAAAGCTGGCAGCTTAACAGGCCCCAAATTCAGCTTTATTTTTGATTCATTTGTAGCAGCCACAAATCAGGTTGATGGGTCCAGCCTGATTCTGAGCAGCAGAGCTCACCTCTGAGGCAGGAGGAGCCACGGTTGGGGTCATGTCCCTGCTGCCAGGGGCAATTCCACTTCATGGAGTCCCTCAGAGACCTTGTGCTGAGCAGCTACACTGGGCAAAGCAGAGAGCTTGGCTTTGGGCTGCAGGTCTGAGAAGCAGCTCTGCTAATTTTAAAGCTTATTTTCTGTTGTTCAGAAAGTCAAGATGTTCACTAATAAGACAGTCTATAAAAGGAAAATGCTTTGCTCTGGGCAATGAAGCTTGTTTTAGCTGAGGAAATTTCAGCTTGACTAGCTTGTGAAACTCCTAATTGGCGTTATTAAATCCCAACCTCAAACGAAATACAATAATTTGCTTGAAAATTTGGCTTCTAAACACATACTGTTCCCTTCCCCCTTTTTAATTGCCGTATTTTGGTGTAGAGGAAATTATCTGATATTCTGTAATTATTGCCTGTGCTGTACTTGGTCTGGAGTAAAACCACGTGGTCACACTTATTTCTGTCCTTGTGCTGTTTTGAATGAAAGACAGGGAACCTGAAGAGGTAAAAACAGAAAAATATGGGAGTTCTACCTCTCCAGTGTGCCTTGAGTGTTTTGCTGCTTGCTGGAGAGAATTTGTAGAGGGAGCAGCTACATCTTTTTACCTTCTACTGCTCCACAGTCTTCCTCAGACGTGCCTCTGTGGAGTAGAAACTGTTTCTTGGGAGATGTGATGTTTTGGTAACATCTAAACGCCTTGAAGGGCTTGGGGCCTTATTAGTCAGGAGCATTCAATTAAGGAATGTGTTCCCGTTTGGTTTCCTAAAGTAGGTGGCTTGAATGTTTACTTAAACGTTAGCAGCTGTCCCAAAGGACTTTTTATCTTAATAAAAGATGCAGCATTTGCTGTGTTCTAAAAGAAGGCAGAGGATCTAGGATAGCAATGCTACATGCTTGAAAATCCAGCATTAGCCAGGTCATAGACTCACAGGATGGTTTGGGTGGAAAGGGACCTTTCAAGGTCATCCAGTCCAACCCTCTGCAGGGACATCTGCAGCTAGAGCAGGGTGCTCAGAGCCTCATCCAACCTCCCCAGGGATGGGGCAGCAACCACCTCTCTGGGCAACCTGGGCCAGGGGCTCACCAACTTAGCCAGTAAGGTGGTGAGTAGGTTAGAGCTGTCTCTACTTTAAAAAAAAAATGTTTATTTTGCTAAAATTCCTTGTAAGTGGTGCAAAAATGACTAATAATTCTCAACCTTCAAGTCTGTGTATGAAGGAGATGAGGATGAGGCAAGGGCTGCCCAGTATCGACAGTGATTCCCTGGAGAAGACACAGGGCTGGGTGTATTGTTTTTCAGGCAGGAAAAGAGCAAAGATGTGTTAAAACGCTGAGAAATCAACTTGGTTTTTGAAGGGTTGTCATGTTACTGTCCTGCCCCTGGTGAGGGGAAGAGAACCTGTGCTCAGTCACCTCTACAATAATGCCACCAGACCAAGACAAATTCTAGTGCCTCGTTCCTCCTGGCACATCTTAAGGAGCAAATAGCAGCCAAATAATGTATTGACAGTCAGGGAAATTGCAGCCACACAACTTATAGCAACATAATGAGTCTGAAGGTTCCCACCTCCCCTTTGGGGATCAGATTAACTGAAAAAATAACCAATGTTCTGCAGGGGAAAAAAAAATGGAGAAAGGGAAAAAAATGAGGCAGGGAAAAGGATTTGCTATATATGGGGAAAAATAAATCACAGAGATTTGGAAACCACTTCAAGAAATGGTCTAGCTGGCAGGTATCCTTGGATTTTTATTTGTGCAGCTCCCCAGAAAAGCTGTAGCCTACTTGTGCAGGTGAGATACAGAGAAGAATGCTCTTGTGGTGGGTCCTCTGCCACTGGCTGTGATAATTTTGCCCTCCCCTTTGTTTTGTGGGTGTGTCTTTCATCATCTTCTTTGGTGGAATGCCCTGGGAAGCATCACTGCAAACCACAGCAGGGCTCGGGCAGTTTGGGAGTCAGTGTCCACCTTGATCTTTGAATACAGCTTCAATCTGGTCGTTGAATGGATTCTCCTTCCCAAGGACCTGAGGCCACTCCTGTTGAGCCTTCTCCCAGGTGATGCTTGTTCCAAGGGCACCAGCGACCTGCAAACAGCACAAATCCTGTGAAATTCCTCTGCCTCCAGCATGGAGTTAGTTCATAGGCTGGTTTAAGAGTTGGAAGGGACCTTTTGAGGACATCTAGTCCCACCTGCTGCATTGAGCAGGGACATCTGCAGCTAGAGCAGGTTCTCTGCCCCATGTCCAGCTTCTCATCCACTGGTAGCCCCAGTCCTCCACAGAGCTGCTTTCTCATGCCAGCATTTAGAAGACCCCACCATAAAGAAGTCCCTCTGTATAGTCATGTGCTGGACCTTAACCTCTAGCCAAAGAAAATGCTCCATTCTAGCTGTTCCAACATGGGAACATCCATCTGAACAGGAAAAACAAGTTGAGGACCATGTACCTGCATCTCCCTGACCAGAGATTTGGTCTGATTGTAGTCTGTAACCATTTCCTGATGTTAGTGTCTGGCCCATAAACTTCTACTTAAAAGCAGAATCTGTTTTTAAACAAACCAACCCCAACAAACCCCCAAAAAGACCCAACAAACCCACAAAAAAAACCCAAAACCCACCACATTTAGCAAGTATTTCAGAAGCCAAGATGGGTTTATGGAATTAAACTCTTTGGATAGTGTGTTTTGGGAGTTTTTTAGGGTGAGTTGGTTGGTTTGTGGAAAAATTCTATGATATTTGCATGGTACACCCCCAGCAAAGGTATCACTGGAGGAGTACTCAACAGTCTTCAGGTTACTGCTGACTGGAACTT